TTTAGTAGCGCTCCTTTTTCTACGTAAAAAGCGTTCGTAGGCGTAAAAAAGATTATAGCGGTAGCGCGGTTCGAACCCCCCCTTTTTATATATATATATATTTAAGGTCCGGGAATATAAGTAAAATAGGACTAATTATAGGCGTATTAGCCTAGTTAGTTTAGTCTCGTATTAACCTAGTAAGTTTAGTAAGGCGTAGATCTTTAGACGTACTTTATGAGGATAACTCCTAGAATTAAGGGCCTAGGAGATGGAGCTAATTAGCCGTCTCTATTAGGAAGAGGGTTGTCCGGCTTGCCGTAATGCTCCGACTCGAGATTTCTAATATATAGGACTTAGTACCGTAAGGAAATCTCGGATTATTAACGTACTATTCTAGTACTAGGTTTACCTAGGCTAGAGAGGTTTATTTTCGCCTTTTCTTTTTCTTTTTAGTAAAGATCCCTATAATAAGAGATAGGTCGTAGGCCGATATTATATATAAAGGCCTTATATTTTTCGATATTTAGTAGTTTAGTAAGTTCGTCGGCTAGTTAACCTTTAGTCGATATAAAGGTTAACTTAGTATTTCTATTTACTACCTTTTCGCGTACGTAGTAATATTATATATCGATATACTTAGTACGGCTATAATATATCGGATTTTTAGCTAGTTCGATAGCTAAGTTTAAATTCTTATATATAGTATTCGTATTTAGGTCTTTAAAAAGACCGATTTCTCGTAGAATAGCCTTTATATAGGCTTACTCTTTTATAGCTTCTTTTAAAGCTATATATTCTACTTTATAGGAACTTAAAGCGACTATTCGCTATAGGCGAGAGTTCTAGGATATAGGGCTATTTATAAATAGGAATAGGTAGCTGGTTATCGAGCGTCTAGTAGATATATCTCCCTCCTAATCGGTATCGGCGTATTCTACTAAGGTAGATTTTAAGTAGTATTATATTAAGATAAAATCGATATATATTCTCGCCTATCCTATAGGTCGGATAAGGGGGTAGGGCTACGTTACTAGGGGTTCTTTTTCTTCTAGGACCGTAGGATAAGAACTAATCGACGCTAAAACGAATACTATAGTAGCTATAACTAAAACGATACTCTTTACTTACCTATATTAGCGAAGGAATAGTAACGCTATCGATCTCTATAGTCTTAAGCCCGCTAAAGGACTATACTTTTAAGACTTCTTATAATAAACGTATATAAAGCTATAATAGCTTTATTCGTAAAGGTTACTACTACTAAAATTTAGGCTATATAGTTATATAGTTGAACTCGTAGAAGGAAAACGCTCTTAATTCTATAAACTATACTCTTATAACTACTATTTAATACTTAACGTAAGCTCGCGTATATTAGGTTACTTATCCTTACGTTACTTATCTCTTTAATCGTCTACTTTCTTCCTTACTTACTTATTCTTCTATACTAAGGCCCCTTTTCTCTTTTCTTATAACTAAGCGCCTCGAGCCCTAATATAGTATAGAAGTCCTAGATCTAGAACTCCTTTTAAATAGCTTAAAAGCTTAGTTAATAGTTTTTCGTGTAAAG